GGTGTACACGTCGTCACTAAATTTTCCCATAGGGAAGCTCAAGACACATTATTTCCACCACTTGTTTTAAGTTAAATATTATAGTCTCCTTATTTTGAAGGTTCTCTGTTGCATTTCTACGGGAAACTCTTACTAAAAATCGATTTGCACAATACTTTTCCAGGTTTTCGCTGGTATTTTACCGGCTTTTCACTGGTTTGAGTTATAATTCAACCGATCAGTTTACCGGCTGGACCGGTCCAGTTACACTTTCAGACAGGCCAGGCCGGGCTGGTTTACCGTTTGCTAACTGGTTCCAGCTCTGCGTGATAGTCATATTTTACTATTTCCGAAGTTTTAAAGAAAGCATAACGATATTTTCTAACCAAAGCATATCATAAAATACTAGACAAATTGTGCGTCTTTTAAGATTAGATCGAAGTTTTGAAAGTTATTCTACAAGATTGGAAAAAATCAAAATTTTCCACCATGAATTTGACGCTCAAGGACTGTAGCTGTTTGATTTGAGACGAGTGATTACTTTTTGTCAAAAGTTAAGTTTCAGTGAGAAACTGTTTCCACTTTCACAACACGTATCTCTTGCTCAAAAATGTATGTATTTCTGAGAGGCGTTTATAAATGCAAAAGATTATGTACAACAAGTAAAACATTATAAAAATATGAATAAATAAATGTTTATCTTTTCTTTTTTCCTACCGCTGAAGGCGTTGCAAGCGAATTCACACCAAGTGTGATAGTTGCTTTAAGACCATATGATAGAGATGATCCTTTGACATATGTAACTACGGCTTTTGAAGTCGATCCCTTTTGATTAGTATAAACCCTATCATTTGCATTAAGTGTACGTGCCACAGTGTTGGATTTGTACGGTGATGTGTTAGCAATAGTATGCGAGATTTGATCTGGAAAAAATATCTGACCTGTATGTGCTACATGTCCACCAGTGTAACGAGTCGTTGAAGTACCACCAAAATGAACTTTAAGATGAATATGCATTGCACGGCCGCTGTACCATCCTGGAAATATCAAATCAAATTTCACTTTTCCACTTGGACCTGTCAACTGATAGCCACGAAGAAAAGTCGAAGAATCTGTTTTATCTCGACTTCCCGAAAGATAATGAGAATAGAGTCCACCAGCATCACATAACCACAGTTCAACATCAGCATTTTTGATAGCTGAACAATTGTTTGTATCGATGATAGTGATGACTAGGCGAAGTGGTACACCTTTTTTGTTTTCACTAGAGAAAGAACTCATTAATGTACGTTTTGTAATGATTAAAGTAACTTACGTTATATTTTGACGCTTGGTTGTTGTTGTCCAGTAGAAAGGTCCTTCTTCTTGTTCTGCCGTTAAAACACATACTGACCGTTTACATCGTGATAATCGAGCACTATATGCACCTATAATATAGCAACAGTAATGAGAAATTAATAGTAATTTTAGAATTGTTTACTTTGGTAAGATAAACCAACGATTGTCAATTGGATTATTATCACA